ATGTTTCTGTATTTAAAACTGTAACTTTACCATCTAGCATACCAACTAATGCCTTTCTGTGGAAACTTGCTGAGTTAGTATTGTTCTTGGCACTGAGGTTCTCACTAGTTAATTCTCTAATTTTACTTTGGGTTGGATGGAAAGAAAGATACCCTCCTTCCTGGCTTTCAAAAGGTTTCGACATTTCACTCATAACTAACGGAAGAAAAACTTGATTGTAAACAGCTGATCCTTCAATGACCTGTTTGTGTTTATCTGATTGAGATGAGTGAAATTCTTGCTCATAAGGTTTTACTTTATAATTAGAAGCAACAAGCTCCCCTGCTAATGCAGGTGGAAACAACATAAAATCACCACCAGTATATGCTGGATCACAATACGAAGTAATACTTTCACTATTTGGGGAAGTAAGTTTAGACGAATCCTTTAGGGTACTGTATTTATACAGTTCTTCATCATACTTATTTTGAGTTAAGAAGCCGTTCACATTGGAACAGCTCTCCTCCTGGTCCTGCAGTAAGGGACTCTGTAGTTTTTCAAACAAAATAGAGCTGTGGTCATCTTCTTCTAGGCTGCCATCTTTTGAGCTTTCAGTGAAAAACAGTTCCTGTTGTGAATCATCCAGCTTTTCATCTATGTTGTGAGTTTCTTCATCACTTTGAAGTGGAGAATAGGAGATTTCACAGTCACTAAAGTCATTTTCTTGCAATGGCAAATGTATGGGTTCTGAGTTGTTTTGGCTCTCTAATTCTTCATCAGCAAGAGGCAAACCAACTCCCACCAGTTTGTCATTCTTAACAAATTCTGTAAATTGTAGAGCTCTCTGGGATGTTTGGCTATTTGTAGAAGAGGAAATCTTTTTGTTGCTTTCAGCTGGAGATTGAGATTGAGATTTTCTTAAACACTGAGTCTTCATCAAGGGATTGTTTGAAATAACTTTTAAGTTCTCAGTTTGTTTCTCACACAGAGACCATCTTTCCTCAAAGCTACAAGGAAAGCCTGAATTATTCTCGCTGAAACTACCACCTGATGCATGTGATGGGCTGCTAAAAGGACTATTACCAGCCCTGCTTTGAGCCAGCAGGAAGTGAGTATATCTCTTATAATGAGAAGGAATTGTTGAGGTACACCGAAGACCATCAGGACACTCTGAAAATTTTAATAAAGAAAAAAGTATTATAGGATCAAAGCGTAAATCAAGCTTTGACAGTATTAGCACTACAAATTAATATGCAAGTGAAAAAAGTATCAGTCCTACTTCGAGGCCATAGGACAATAGCTATTTTTAATTGTAAAAAAAGATCAAAAGATCAGCATGAAATATCAACACTTAATCCAGCATGGTTTTACAAGATGCTAGTTATTAGTTTTAAATCAAATACTCTCTTAAATTTCTCTTCAAGTAATCTTTTCTCAAAAAAAATTTTTTTTAAGACTAACACCTTTTTTTCTTTCCTAAGTAACTTCTACAAACATGAGGCCCTGGAAAATGCATGTCATATTTATAGAGTATTTCTTAAATGGATGCTACAAACTTGACACCATTAGTTTTACTAATTCATTCTTGTTCAGCCAATAAAGAGTAAAGAAGACTTGTGTCTCTCTCACAGAAATAAAATTCTACCCATTTTTATCTTATCAGGCAACAAAGATTTATGACAACTATTACCAAATCAGGTTCCATTATTTAACATTCACATTGTATACAATAAAATAGTAACAATCTCAGTAAGATTACTTATAGCTGTATGAACAAATTTGAAATTCTGTTCAAGACTTTGAAATTCAATTTGAAAAACTGGTTAATAACAAGGCTTTAATAATTTGGAAACTATCCCCTGTCATACTATTATGATTGAGAAATTTTTCTGTAAACCATCTTGGCATATATCCCTGTATATGTTAATTTCTAGGTTTATCAAAAAATGACACTCTCCTACCACCCTAAAAAGATGTTACATTAAATTAGAAGACTCTGTGGCTTAAAACCTAACTTAAAACCACCTCATGAAAGTATTTGTTATAGAATGGAATTCATTTCAAGAAGAGTCTGAGATTCTACTCAAAGGAGTATAGTGAAAACTCAAAAGCAAATCTTTTTGAGGTGGCTTCATCTATAAGACATTTCACCCTGAGGTACTCACCATGGACTCCAACTTCCATTTCTGATTTTCAAGTCACATAAAAGCAAATTACTAGCATTAATGAGGTTTTCACTTGCTATAGTTTTATGAGAAAGGCTAATGACAATTTTTTTTAAAAAAGAGTTCTTTTCTATGTCCATGCAGTACTTTAAAATGACTAGAGGTTAATAATAAAATGTATTCTGAATCATAGTTAACATGAAAACCATACTGAGTATTATTTTTTCCTTTACTGAATTTTTTTAGATTTAAAAATCTATGTATGGCATATAAAATAGCTTTAAAATGCACAAATCATCACAACCCATTCTTCATATATTCCAAGTAGGATTTTCTACATGTTAAATACTTATTATATATTTTAAAAGATAAAAACATAGCATTATTTTTGTTATCATTTGGCACATTTTTGTTAGAATCTTAATCATCTAAGACTCTTTCCCAGTTCCTCTTCCTGTACATTAGCATGATGAATACAACATAACCATATTTAGAAACCAGACTATATATATAATTTTTATACTTTTCTATATAATTCCATAAAAGATAAATTGGACAAGTTATTTAACTTTTAAGAACCCTCATGTATAAAATGCCAATATCACCTATTGTATATGATGATACACGAGTAAAAATAAACAGTGTGAAAGTACCTAGCATAGTAAAGGTTCAATTAACATTTACGAACAATAATTGAGATGTCTAGGAACTTTTACAAAACAATAAAATACATTTAAACTGATTTCGAACCTGCAACTTTCTTTACAATTATACCCTTGACTGGTATGGTGTCTAATCACAGTGTCTTATCTCTCTCTTAGCTTATTGCTTGCCTTGTTCCTTTCACTAAATTGATATGTCTGACCTAATGTAGGCCTTTTGAATTATTTGGAAACCACTACCTTTTCTGTACTCTTACCTGTTTCAGAGACTGGTGGAGAATCCAAACATTCAAAAACATGCCATCGAGGTGTTTGACCTAGCAATGAGGAAAAAGGCATCTGGCAGTTTGGACAGTATCCATCATAAACTGGACGTATCTTTGGAGACACGTGTTTGTTTTTTTGAGTTCTACACAACTTTCCTGGAGTGGTCTCCTTGTCTTGAGACTGTTGACTACCATCTCCACAACTTGAACTCTGACTGGAAGCTACACAAGCCTGACAAACTGCTGCTTTAGGGGACATCTCATGGTCCTTTACCTCCTCTTTAGCTTCTATGGTTCTTTTTCTGCTTCTCTTTCGTTTTGACTGGTATTTTCCCTCTTTTGCTTTTCCAACAGGTTTTAGAATACTTTCAGAATAATTATTTGGATCAGCTAGTTTTGGTTTTCTTTTAGATTTGTATTCCCAAATGTCTTCTTCTAAAAGGGTGTCTTCTAACATGGCAAAATGACTTTATCATTAAAGAGGCGTTAATCTTAAGTAAACAGAGTTCATTTCTTGATACGAAATTTCTAAATGGAATTATTTTTGCTGAGAGAAAAACAAAAGTAATAAAAAAAACTCACTAACTGAATGGGAATCTACAGCTCTGGTAATGAATATATTGGCAAGCTGCAAACCTCATACCTGAACACCCGCTGTTCCATTTATACCACAACAAAATTAAGAGAACCTATCACAGGGGTGAAATTTTTGATTGTGGCTATTTCATTCGGGGATCTCAGCCTTTTCCAGGACTTAATTCATAAAAATAAGAATCAGTAATACTTTGAAAATTAGGCACTAATGGGAAAAATAGGTTCAGCAGCTTATTCTTAGAATGAGCTTTTGTAAAACTGCTATGAAGCTATTTTCAGTTCTTTGAAGTGGACAATTGTCCATATAATTCACAAATCCAACCACAGTCCCCGGGCATGTGGCTCAGCAGGAATTCCAAATACTAAATGGCTACCTCAATTTACCAGTAAAACTAGTCAAAGAAGTGTGTAATTCGCAAAAAAGAAAAGAAAAGTGATTGTCCTTATCCATGACTCGTGGATATTCAACAACTTCGGTTTCCTGCGTCAGTCCATTATCTTCCTCCAACAGCAATGCATAAACCCTACACGGTGAACAAAACAAGTTCGAATATATGAAATGGTGTTTGTACTGAGGTCACACTCCTTACTCCAGAACACAGAGGTGTTCTGTACTTAAGGTGGCCTCTCTTCCCTAGCCTCAAAACTTAAGTCGCTTGCCAGGTGCCTGCCACCGCCGCTACCTTCTCTTTTGGCTTTAGACGCTGCAAGGCCAGCGAGTAGGGCCTTAGCCGTCTCCAGGTTAAGCACAGTCAGCTCCAAAAAAGCCGCCAGAGTCTCCCCTTCTAAGACTCTGAGGCCCGCCCTCAGGGACCCTCGCGGCTGCCCACCTGCCACCGCGCCCCCGCAGGAGCAGCTCCAGCTGCATCCGCTCCCCTCACAACCCCCACCCCTGGCTCGGCTAACAACCTATTCGCGCCCGCACTTTCAGCACTCCCCGAGTGACAAAGCGCTGTATTTGTAAGTTGGAGTCACCGGCCAGTCACTCCCAACTTAAATAAGCCTTGTCCCTTGAGGATAGCCTTAGCCCTCCCTTTACCTTTAGTGTCTTGGCGGGAACATCTTCCCGCTGCCAGTGCCGTGTCGAATCGGCGGATTCTGGTCTAAGAGCGGGATTTTAAAAATAATTTTCTGTAAATAGTGTGCCCTTTTAAGTCCTACGGATTTATTTTATTTCATTTCCTTTTTGTTCTAAAGCGCGCTAATTTTCAAAGTGGAGGGTGGGGGAATGGTTTTCTTAGCGCTTCTGGGACGCAGCGCCAGAGGCCTGTCCCATGTTGAATCTGGCGCTCTCAATGTCCAGGCTCAGCCGCGGCGCGGCGACCCTGGAGGGGCGGGGTGGTTGGGGCGGTAGTTTAATTACGTGCCCGGGAATTGCGACGGTTCGGACTCTGGCTTTGGGGCGTATTTTAAAAAGGAAAAAGTGCTGCTGCCGTGGAGTGGGGCTGGTGGAGGGTGAGGTGAATACGCCGATTTGAAACCCAAGGACAGTAAACGCTCCGTCTCCCCCAGCGACGCTCTCCCGCGGGCCCGGCAGTCGCCTCGGGAGCCCGCGGAGAACATGGCGGCGCCCAGAGCCCGGGGCTGCGGCCTGTCAGGCCTGCTCCCGGCGCAGACCTCGCTGGAGTACGCCCTGCTCGACGCCGTCACCCAGCAGGAGAAGGACAGCCTGGTCTACCAGTATGTGCAGAAGGTGGACGGCTGGGAGCAGGACTTGTCAGTGCCCGACTTTCCGGAAGGTGAGGGGCTGGCTTCGGGGTGGGGAGCCCTCCTGGGACCTCCCCTTCCTCGGGGACCGCGCCCTCCCCTGAATCGGTGGGCGAGGCGGGGTTGTGTCGCCTCGCGGGGCCTTCGCCCGACCTGAGCCGCGGCTCGCGCGCTCTGCAGTTCCCAGGTGTCCCCAAGTGGCGACAGATGGTGGGTTTCTGGAGAGCGGACACCTGCATGTTTGTTTCGTATCCTGAGTCCTGCTCGGGCCTGGTAGTAACTAAGTAAACACTTTGTAAATGTTTTAGTGGCCCTGGTTGGCAGTGATCGAAATGTCCACGCAACCCTCTCTCCTATCAGTTCAGTTCCCCAGCGTCGTCGTCTTTTTCCATCGTCCTACTGACATCTATTGATAACTTTTTATGTGCCACACACAGTTCTAAACACTTCAAGAGATATTATCTTATTTAATCCTCTCAACAACCCAGTGAGGTGCTCTTTTTATTCCCATTTTACATTTGAGGAAACTGAGGCACAGGGTGGTTAAGTAACTTGCCCGGGGCTTCACAGCCAATAACTGCTAGAGTTGGATTATACAGACCCTAGATTTCCTGATTTCTTAGCCGTGCTTCATTTCTCTGTTCAAAATGGTAAAACTTCTAATTTTGAAAATCTGGATCAATTATAACCTATCTCCAGGGCTTGAATCCCTGCTGGGTGAGCGTTTGGAATGTGAGGGAATAGATATTCCCAGCAGGGGTTTTGGGGAAGCACATCTTGCCATAATAAATGCAAATGTATTATATTATGCCTTCTTTGGATGTGAGTGGTGTTGTTTTGCCTGGTGGTGTTGGCATGTGTCCTGGCATGTGAAACTACATGTATAGTTAATTGGTTGGATATGGCAGGGTTCAGTTATCTCATGGGAGGTAAATTGGAACCTGTCTGTGACAACAGAGTCTTGGGTGTCTTTCCAAGTCTTTTACACCTGCTTTGAGAAGTGCTTATTTTTTCCCTTCTTAATCTTACACTGGATTTGAAATATTTGTGGAATTCTTACAAAAGAATTGGGTGCATAAATGCTTATCCCACCAAAAAACTTTAAAATATCATGTGCATATATACAAATATATAAATTTTTTTTAAAGTTTTGCAAGAAGGTAGTTATATAGTAAATACACTTATAAATAAGTGGGCTATCAGCTAGAATTAGAGGGAGTGTTTTTGTTTTCTAGTGGTTGTATTTATAGCGAGTGTATTTTATTACAATGAGATTTGACCTCTGACTTGTAAGTAATACATACAGTAAAATATTCAGGCTTTGTATTTGACATAGTTTGATTTTCTACTGGACCTGCTTACTGAAGACAGAATGCTAAAAATGAGTATTTTCTTGATTTCTTTACCAGTAAGCTATAATGAAGAAGTCGCAAACATATAACTTTATCTTGAAACCTGTATGCTTTGTTCATTTCTTAGAAGAAACACATGTTTATGGGAGGCAGTGTAGTATAATGTGTAGATTCAGATCTGGAATTAAATCCCTGTTATTCCATTTGTTGGCTGTGTGATTCTGAGCAAGTTACTTTACTTCTGCAGCCCTACATTTCTTGCTTATAAAATGGAACTAGTATTTACCTTTCAGAGTTGCTGTGTGGATTGAAGGTAATATATGTAAAATTCTTAATTCATAGGAAAGCTTACTGAATGTTAGCAGCTTTTTTATTGTATTCATTGTAATTATTATTATAAAATATATTTTATAATATATAAATATAATATGTATTATATATAATATATATGTAAAAATATAAATATATATTTAAAAACATATATATTTATATAACATATAAATATAATTTATAGCCTGGTAAGTACCTAACACAATAACTGAAGAGTTATTCTTTCCACCCCTCCAAGTTTAAGTCACTGTTGACTATTTACAAAAAAGTCATAAAGGACAGATTCATCAATATTTTGCAGGTAGGATATGAAATATACATTAGTTAGTGTAAAGTTCTATATGATCACTTGATCTGGTATATAATTAACATTTTATCAAATGGGTAATTAAGAGGTTACTGAATCTTGAAACCTCACTAGTTTGGACTAATTGGCAGAAATACTAGTTTGATCTGCAGGGTTTTTTCCTAGAATTTTGTTATAATTGAGAAACTCCAGTTACTCTTGCTGGTCATTAGCTGTTACTATTTACTTGTTCCACCCAATTTTGGCTTTTAGTTGGCAAACAGTAATTTCTAAATACCTGCTTCAAGGTATAAATAATAGTTTTAATAGCTGCATTTATTTACTTATAAACAAACTTATCTTTATTTTCTTAAATTGTTTAAATAGGGATGCTGTGCTTTTAATATTAGTGTAACAAAATCTTCACAGTACAGAGTTAAAATTTTGAATCATAGTCAGGTATTTATAAGTTTTGATTTATAAAAATACAGATTAATTAGATTCTGTTTTTGTTTTCTTTGGAGGAAAGGGAACACATTCTTCATCAATATTAGTGTTGCCTCCATGAAATCTATAGCAATCATAGTATAGTTTGCTTAACTTTACATTTAAAATATTTTGTATTTTAATTGGGTCTTAGCTTCTCTTGTATGAAATTCGCTTAGGCATTTTGTATGCCTATCCTTACATACATTTTGCTCCTTTTTGATATTTAGTAATGTCTTTCTAATTTTAAGCTTGACTTTCATTCTTAATAGCCCTTTCATACCTAATTATTTATGCAATCAAATTCTCTCAATATATGTTATTTCCTCAGAGTTTTTTTGCGCAGGTGTGTTGCTCTTGCCAACTTTTACAGACTATTATACTATTTCTGAAAGAATTTAGTAGCTCTTTCTTGCTATTTTTGCAGACTGCATCATAATAGCAGCTTCCCCCACCTGCTCCACCCCTCTGGCTTCCCTACCTCTGCCCGCGTAGACTTCTTTCTTTTCTCTTTGGGCCTTTAATTTCAACAAATTTGCCTTCTTGGTCTTTTCTTTCAAATCGCAAATACCTGTTTTGTCACAGTCATGAAGATACATCATATCTTTTATTTCTTTTATTTATTGATAGAAAAGGGTTGTTTTTAATAAACAGAAAAATTAATTCAACTGCCACAGCCTTTATATAATGCCAGCATCTCTTAATGTGTTTTGACTATTTACACTAGTCATAGAAAAAAGGAAGGCTCACATTTTAATGTAACGTTTTAAATAAAATTTTCTTTGTCTTTTCCTTTAATCATTGTAATTTATTTTGTGTAAATTTCAGGATTAGAATGGCTGAACACCGAAGAGCCTATGTCTGTCTATAAGGATCTATGTGGAAAAGTGGTCGTCCTTGATTTCTTCACCTACTGCTGCATAAACTGTCTTCACCTATTGCCTGATCTCCATGCATTAGAACACACATACTCTGATAAAGGTATCTGCTCTTTAATTAGTTTCTAGCAGACTGTCCTGGCGTAGGCACTAGAAGAGTAGCTGACTCATTTGCTCATAGGAGAATAAAAATTTGGCAAGACTTCAGTGATTCTAAAAGTAATCCCTAATCTATGAATTAAGGACTCTGTGTGCCTTTTCATGAAGGGTTAAGCTTAGTGATAATGATTTGCCTATTGAAAGAATCAGCATTTAGTGTATGGTTTTTCTCTGAGGATAAGGGCAAAATTTAACTTTTTTCATGATTAGGTATTTAAAAAGGTCTTTTTGTATGTCTAGGCTTACCTAAATTTGTTCTGTGAAAAAAATGAAGCGTATGACATTAATTTTATGCTCTTCTCACTGTGATGTAAAGGTTTAAAGTTTTTATTAGGAAATGTGATTAGGCGTCCATTAATATCAAATGACATCAGCTACAGTGGAATGTAAAATGTTATAACAGATACTCTTTCTTTGACTTTGCTTCATTAAAAAATGATTTATTGCAGCTAATGTTTTTCAGAGCACACTAGGAAATCCTTTTTGATAGTATGACAAATTCTGAAGATGTAAGATTATACTTATTATTTTCTCTAGAAATTTGAAAAATTATCAGATCTTTTTGTCTTATATACTTCTTTCTAAAAGGAGAGTACAGGGTAAATGAAATTAATTAATATTTCCATTTAATTAGGTTTAAATGAATTGAAGCTCTACTCTTTGGATAAAAAAGAGATGGGATCACTGATTTGTGAGAGTAAAAATGGAAGTAGACTATACATGTACAAAAATTAAGGATATCTTGAAACTTAGTTTTAAAAAGGAAGTGATAGATAAAATCTTCAGTGCAAGTGGAATGTCAGATGATGCTTTTAAGTTGTAATAGATTGTGTCTTAAAATTATCAATCAAAAGATTTATCAAGAACTCAAATATTCCCAGTAGCTAAATCATGTTTTCAAAAATTTGTATGGATTTAAGAAATATGAGTATCTTATTATCTCCTAGGATTTGGATGCCAGTGTTTCTTGTTCAAGCCATCACATTTATTGAACATGTATTATATACAGGGTACTCTGCTAACTGCTGAGGAAATATTTAACAAAGTTGAATAAAAAAAGCATTATGGAACCTGAGGAAAGGAGTACTCATTTTGCCTAGAAACATTGGAAAAAATTTCTCAGAGAAGCAGACAATTGAGCTAGAACTTGAAAAATGAGCAGGAGTGCAGCTGAAAATGAAAATGAGGCAGAAGGGATACTCCTGGCTGAGGAAGCATCAGGTAAACAAGCATGGAAGCACAGAAGAGTAGGATTCTTGCTCCAGGAACAGGTAAATAATTTAGTGTGGCAAGATTGTAAGGGCTCATGATAAGAGTAAAAGGAGAGAAAGGTAGGTTAGGTTAGGACTACATTGTCAAGTGCATTGTATAACATTTTTAATAGTTTAGACTTCATCTTCCATTGAGGATACAGGGATGTTGAAGGTTGTTTTTGATTTGATTTGTTTGTTTTTTAATAGGATGCTGATATTTGTGTCTTAGAAAGTCATTACATACCGGATTAAGAATCTCACAGTTAACCATTTCCATACCATACCGTTTAGATAACCCCTAAAGGACTGTTAACTTAATTGCTTAACCCCATACCTGAAGCAAATTCAGTGACTTCCTAGAATGGATCCTTGTCCTCTCCGACCAATTTACTGGGAACATTCTTTTTATAACACATTGTGACAGAAAATGAAAAATATTTTTACATACAAATACACTTCTGAAAAGTAAAAGACTTTGTAAGTGGAGAGAGAATTCTAGGAAGATAGAAGAGTAGAAAACAACAGGAATCTGTCCCCACCTAGCCAACAGTTACACTAACAGAATCTGATGTAATAGGTTTGGAACTCTGGAGTCTATGGAAGGCTTGCAACGTGCAGGGGAAGGCTTAGACTGTAAAATGTGGTTAATTTCAGCTCTCAACACAGTAGTAGCTATTCATCTCCCAGCTCTAGCTCCATGGCAGGCAGCTGTGCACATGTTCCTAGAGCAGTTTGCACATATCTTGCAGGAGCCATGGTGGGCAAAAAAGACCTTATCTTCTAAATATCAGAGATTTGTGCTCTGATCTCTGGTTGCTCCTTTTGATTAGAGAGGTGCAGACAAAGAGGCAGTGGCCATTGTTGTTGCATCTTCTCACAGTGCTGCAAGCCTCTCTCCATCTGGCTGAAGTGACTTTGAAGGAATTTCGAGGGCTAGTATCCTTTTCCCCCCTTTATTTTCTCTTTTTCCTCTTATGGGAGCTAGATGTTGAATGGTACATTCGGTAGCAACTGGATATACGGAGAAACTTAGTTACCACCTAGGGGAAGGCACAGTCTCAGAAAAGATCTGAAAAGACCTTAAGTTTGCACCTCACGGTGATCCTTGGCACAGAGATACCACAACAATAAAAAACAAACAAACGAACAAAATCCAGCAAACCCTAGGGAAGGGAGAGAATTTGATTTCCAGGGTTACCATATTATTAGATGCAAATGTCCAGTTTTTAATGAAAAATCACAAGGCACACAAAAAAACAGGAAAACGTGGCTCACGCTTTCAAAGGGAAAAAATAAAAGGGAAAAAATAAACAGAAACAGTCCCTGAAAAAGACTTGATGGCAGATCTAGGATACAAAGGCTTTACAGCAATTGTCTTACAGATGCTCAAAGAACTAAACAGTGTATGAACAAAATGGAATAACAGTAAAGAGAGAGAATGTCTAAAAAGAAGCCAAAACCAAGTTCTGGAACTGACACTAACTGAAATGAGAAATTCACTGCAAATGCTCCTTGACTTATGAAATAGGTGAATCTCAATAAACCCATTAACCCATTGTAGGTTGAAAACATCCTAAGTTGGAAGTGCATTTAATGCTGGCAACACAGCGGACAGTCCCCGACTTATGATGATTTGATTTATAGTTTTTCAACTTTATGGTGGTACAAAAAAGCAATACACATTCAGTAGAAACTGTAACCATTTTGTAAGTTGTAAGGAGCTCCTCAACTTAAAATGGATTGGGATTACGTCCCAATCCATTGGGACGATTATAAATTATCCAATGGATTGGGATTACGTCCCAATCCATTGGATAATTTATAATGGATGGGATTACATCTGGATAAATCTGTCATAAAGTTGAAAAATTATAAGTAAAACCATCATAAGTCAGGGACTGTAGAGAGACTGAAAGGCACATTTGAACAGGTAGAAAAAAGAATTAGCAAATTTACAAAAGGATTGAGTCAGAAACAAACAGAAAAAAGAAGAAAAGTGAACGGAGCTTAGGGAACCTGTGAAACACCATCAACTTAACACAAAAAGACAGTAATGCAAGAAATAAGGGACAAAAAAGCTCTAAGGCATGTAGAAAACAAAATAACAGAAGTCTTTTTTTAATCAGTAATTACATTAAATATAAATGGATTAAGCTCTCCAATCAAAAGGCAGAGATTGGCAGAATGGATAAAGAACATGATCCAACTATATGTTGCTTACAAGAGACTCACTTTAGATCCAAGGACATAAATAGATTAAAAGTAAAAGAGAAAAGGATATTTTATGTAAATAGTAGCCAAAAGAGAGCAACTATATTAATATCAGACAAAATGGACTTTAAATCACAAATGGTCAAACATTATATATTAATAAAAAGTTTAGTATATCAAGAAGATAAAACAATTATAAACACTTAGGCACTTAATAAGAGACAATCAAAATATATGAAATAAGAATTGAGGAGAGACATGGACAGTGCTACAATAGTAGTTGGAGAATTCAATATCCAACATATACAGACCACTCTACCCCAAAATAGGACATATACATTCTTTTCAAGTGCATATGGGACATTTTCCAGGATAGACCATATGTTGGGCCATAAACTAAGTCACAACAGACTTAAGATAGATATTATACAAAGTGTCTTTTCCAGTCACATGGGATGAAGTTAGAAATCAATAACAGGGCTGGGCGTGGTGGCTCACGCCTGTAATCCTAGCACTCTGGGAGGCCAAGGTGGGTGGATTGCTTGAGGTCAGGAGTTCAAAACCAGCCTGAGCAAGAGCGAGGCCCTGTCTCTACTATAAATAGAAACTAATTGGCCAACTAATACATATAGAAAAACTTAGCCAGGCATGGTGGCCCATGCCTGTAGTCCCAGCTACTCAGGAGGCTGAGGTAGAAGGACTGCTTGAGCCCAGGAGTTTGAGGTTGCTGTGAGCTAGGCTGATGCCATGGCACTCACTCTAGCCTGGGCAACAAAGCGAGACTCTGTCTCAAAAAAAAAAAAAACCCAAAATCAATAACAGAAGGAAAACTGGAAAATTCAGAAATTTGTGGTAATTAAAACAACACACTCTTAAACAATCAGTGGACCTAAGAAGAAATCACAAGGGTAATTAGAAAATACTTAGAGATGAATGAAGAGGAAAACACAACATGTCAAAACTTACGGCAAATGGTGAAAACAGTGCTAATGGGGAATTTATAATTATAAATACTTAACATTAAAAAACAAAAAAATAGGCCTGGCAAGGTTGCTTGTGCCAATAATGCCAGCACTTTGGGAGGCTGAGGTGGGAAGTTCCCTTGAGGCCAGGAGTTCCAAGACCAGCCTGGGCAACATAGCAAGATCCTGTCTCTAAAAATATTTAAAAAATTTAAAAAATAAGAAATATTTCAAGTCAACAACCTAACTTTATAACTCAAAGAACTAGAAAAAGAAGAATAAAGTAAACCCAAAGCTAACAGAGGGAAGAAAATAAATATTCAAGCAGAGAAGCAAAATAGATAATAGAAAAATAATAGAGACAATTAGTGAAACCAAAAGTTTGTTCTTCAAAAATACCAACATAATTGACATACCTTTACCTAGATGTACTAATAAAAAAAGAAGATTCAAATTATTAATATCAGGAATGAAAGTACAGACATTACTACTGATTATATAGAAATAAGGATAAGAGA